ATCATCATTCGTTCGTTTCCCTACACAGGGCAGGGTGTCATTCATTTCTACGGCTTTCCATCATGGTCAAGGGCTGGGCTAGCATCGCTCACTGGAGTCTGTAATTTTGGAAAATGTACCTCTGAAATACAGTTGAGTGAGGAAAACGTCATGACGGTTTCACTATTTAAAAAACTTGAATAGCAGTTGCGTGTGTTTAGAGCTCGTCTGGTGTATTGCGTTGCTCAGTGCTGACCACAGCTTGTTGGACTTTGAAATGGCAGTCACAATGTGTTTATCAGAGTGGGTCAAACAGCAGAATGAAGTCCTTGTGTAATATACAGTGCACATATAAACAGCCACAAAAAGAAAACAAAAAAACAATAGCTCTACAGACAGATAGGCGTTTCGACATCTATTTCAGTTACAGACAGAAACAGAAAATCCCCCCTCCCAGCCAGACTCAACTCACTTTCATTTCATTTTATCCAGACCATATCTGTCTGCCTGGGTCTGTAACTCTGTGTTATTGCAGCTTCAGTCTGTGCCTGTGATCCCATTGAGAGGCACAAGACCAGAAGCGACGCAAGTCTGAGAAACACTCCTGTGTTGACTCAACTTCTCTCCCCCCCCCGCTTCCGGCTCAGTCAGCCCTCCCGGCCACGTCCGTCCACGCCGGTGACCGAGCCTCTATAAATCAGAACAGAGCACACAGGCTGAAAACACTGCAGCAGATTGCACTATTTTAAAAAACTTGTTTGTGATCCTTGGGAGGCCATCAAGAGATTCCAGCAGTGCACAAAAAGCACTTGTTGGATGTGACTGCTTGTGTGAGGAGAGGTCAGGAAGTCAGGGGTTTAAATGCTTCTAAAGGTTCACAGGTCATCCAGCTTGATCTTTTTGGCTGAAAGGAAATGATCCTCATTCCAGCCACATACCAATGTGAATTGTATTTTTACTTAATGAAGCCCACTCTTTCAAAATGCTCCTTTTCATGTTAGGAAATAAGATTACACTATTTGGAAAAAGAAGTTATGATTTGTGTAAGAATAAAGTGCATTATGTAATTCTATTAAAACTGTCATAAGGCTTCTGTTTGTGTATTTGAGGGGGAAACGGCCCTTCCCATGCCATGTGTCTCAGTATAAATACCACACAAATACCACAACTGAATGGAAATTCCAACAAAACTATGGCTTCCTCCTGGCAAGTGACTCAGTCAGAGCCGCTGTTGAACGTCTTCCACCCCCGGCCCTTCCTGCTCCGAGCCCAAGACTCTGGGTGTGCCTCCTCCCTGTGACCTCATCCTCCCAGAAAATCCTCCAGAAATCTCAGCAGCACAATCGCTCACATGATGCAGCCTCTGTGCAAGCAAGTTGTCCACAATAACAAACCGGCCAGTTTATAGAAAAACATCTGACTTAGCATTGATGGTGGTGCCGGCGCCCCAGCCTGTTCATTCAACCAGAGCATGAAGCAGAGTGTGTGAGTGTCTGTGTGCAGCATCCTGTTTATACAGCCTGGTTACTGCTGCCTGCTGTGGGAACTTAAACTAACCAAACTTTGAGTCTCAACCTTATTGTTCTTGCCTAAGTTCTTGCCATTCAAATCTTTGTGACTAATTCTTCCTCAAGTGCAACAATCTCATGTGGGCAGACTTTCAGTAACCTGCCTGTTACTGTGAGCCTTCACCAAAACAGTCTACATGAACAGAGGTACTTCTACCATACATCACACCCACCACAAACTGCTGAGTAGACAAGTGACGGGAGTTATAGATTCATGAAAAGAGGCTTTGTGTTAATGCAAAAGACAATAGGTTCCACATGGCAGCTGGACTTTTTAAACCAGACACAGCACATTCAATGAGTCATCTGACATACTGTTGAAACGTCAGCAGATCAACACCAGAAAACACACAGTTAACTAAAGCAAACACAAACTGTACTCAAAGCACATAATGATACGAATAACGGGTATACCTGACAGGCAGACTGGCTGTCACACTTTAAGTTTCAGAGTGTAAATCATACCTCGACTTCTCTGAGAGCTGACAGGCCGTGACGGATCTGCTGGGAGGTTTGTGTCCTTCACAACACACTGGATGGAAAAGTCCGTGGTCAGTGACAGAGGTCCTTCAGGGAGTCTGTGCTCCGACTGCTGTTGGAGGGGCTGTTCTCTGAGTGAAAATACTTGTTCTCTCTGCGTGGCGGAGCTTAGTCCATGTGGCTGGATGGGAAATGGGAAATGAACTTTCTGGGCAAAGAGCCAAGAACAGAGTGGGTTTTAAAGACACAGTTTACAGTGCTATATAAGGTTTAGTCACGCTTTACTGTGCAAGTTAAAGGCATTTTCACCTGCTGTATTTATCAGTTCCATGCATACTGCTGAGTTTATGTTCACTCTTACTTAATGGTATAAAATTAGGTTTTAATGAGCATTTAACATTGCAATAGACTAAAAAGGCTGTATAGTCATATCGTCTATCAATATTATAGCTTCATACTCACAACTTTAGCTGAAATCTACATTGACATTTAGAGGATTTTCCTCTTTCTGTGGTGAAAAGTAGTACATTTACTCAAGTACTGTATGTAAGTACAACTTTGAGGTGTTTGTACATTACTTGAGTAATTTTATGTTACTTTATGCTCAAACTCAGTAGTGATTTGATCTAACCCAAATCCCCTTGGAAATGAGTATTATTATATTGAATTTAAATGTCCAGCATAAATGTAATGAAAAGGAAACATGTGTTCAGTTGGTTCTGTGCTGCTCTTTGTAGTGCCTGTTTAAAGAAAAAACACTGAGTTCTGTATCATAATTTCACAGTTTATAGTGATGGTAATGATCACACTCAAAAAGAATCATCACATTAGTCATAAGAAACAACCATGGGTTGTAAATAAGTGAGCTGGTGTCTCCCTCTAGTGGTTTTTCCTGAAAAGGCAACTGCAGCAGAAGGCCCTGGCCCACACCTCCCGGTTACCAGAAACGAATGAATAAATAAAATAAGAAACAAGTTTGCTTTATCATTTAATATTTTTACTTTTCTATGTGCTTTCAATGCTTTCAGACTGTGTGTTTGTGCCAGTCTATATACTATAAATAAGAACCAGCAGCAACAGTCGCTTGCTAAAATCAGATTATGCACTGATGACTGATTAGATCTATATAAGAATAACAATATCTGACAGGGACTTCTTGAATAGTCCATATGTATCTTTAACGCATTCATGAATGTTTACTTGTTTATAATGTTGATATTTCTAAATTGGAATCCAGAATAAAATTCAAAAACTAATGCTTTCCCACACCCAGCGCTGGTAAAAAAAAAACAGTAAAGGAATACACTTCCAAGCTATCAAACTGTGCCACTGTACAGTCACCTCCTCACCACACCATATTTGCTTTCAGGAAACACAATGACTTCACCTCTTGGGCCTCAGGAAAGAAAATCTGATGACTTTGTACCATTGACTCATCAACACATACTCTTTATCTGCAGCAAACGGCATCACGCGGAGGCACTGCAGCTGTCACAGAGCCAGAAGGCCACGTTAACAGTCCACCAAAGAGCTGTAGTTTCTGTCTAAATATGAGCTGAGATCACTGTCATTTCCTCTTCTGCTGCTTCCTTCTCACTATGGATTAACACACTGGACTTGATCATTCATGCATCCTCTCTTCTAACCCCCTTTCATTCACGCTGTAGCCTGGCAACAAGCTACTGGATAATATGCACTGACACAGCTTAATTTCACAATGTCTCGGTACATTATGAGGAGTCATATAAAAGACTTAAGTAAAGTCAAAATGTTGTGTATTTTTTTCTGGGATTATGTACATGATGGGAAGTGTTTTTGTTAAAGGTCTAGTGTGTAACATTTAGGAGGGTCTATTGGAACTGAAAATAAGAATTGTTGTGTTTGTTGTTACCTTAGAATGAGCTGTTTTCATCTACAGAGGGAGCTGGTCCTCTTCTACGGAGGACGCCATGTTGAACCGCCATGTTTCTACAGTAGCGAACAGCCAAACCAAACACTGGCTCTAGAGGCTTTTTTTTGCAAGTTTCACAGCCACTGTAGTTTCCCCACATGCTTGGAAGGCAGTACTTAGTTGGTTACAATCTGCAACTTCACTGCTATAGATGCCACTGAATCCTGCACCCAGCCAGAATTAAGAAAGGCTTGAATCAGTGAAACACTGCATTCCAGCCTGTTGTCAAGTTGCTCTTTAAACCTGCAATAGCCTACCTGACGTTTTTGGCCACTTGAGTCCAATATTCATTCTCTTTTTAGCTCTTTTTTTGGTCTCTACCATCTCTTGGGGGAAATATTTGCCTCAATAGCTCCTAAATGCTCCACTATGTTTACCAACTAGTCTCTAACTGTGTCTGTTTAACTGTTTGGTGCCGAGCAAGTAGTGAGCAGTGAGCTTTTAGAGCTTTTTTTTTGCTGAAAACAACGCTTTGAGGGCAGTGAGAGTGAACCAGGACAGTTGCAGCCAGACAGCTCAACAAAGAGCTGAAACTCACCATAAAGCTCCATAAAGCTCCATAAAGCTGAGGGGAGCTGCAGATTCAGGTGATAATTCTCAGAAGGTGCATTGCTATGTGCAACACCTTACACCTGCCACATTGTTTTCACATTGTTATTTGATACATTGTGATTATAAAAATATTGATTTTTCAAGCAACATCCTCAGCCAGCCAGCCAGCCAGCCAGCCAACCAACCATGCACTAAATCAACATTTTTCAGTAAACAATACTCTCAAATACCTAATCTCCAGATTACTTAACATTTTACATGAATTTATGTCAGTTTATCTTCCATTAAATCTGCAACAACCTTGCACATAAATGCAAAGAAAAATCTGTTAATTTTACAGGACACTTACTGGCAGTATGCTAACCACATATTGAAATGTCCTACATGTACACTCTGCTTTTGCACTGCCAGTAAAAAAAAACTTCTTCATAAAGACAAAAAAAAACCAACAACCCAAAAACAAAGCAGGATTCCCTCAATACAAAATGAAGTACATTCAGATTGATGCTCTACATCTTTGCCGGTAATGGGCTCCAGCTCCTGGGTTTACTGCCACCGATCAGATGTATGGACGGCTGTGATGAGGATGTTACATCACTTGCAGTGCAGCCAGACGCCAGCAGCAGCATCCAGCTCGGAGGTAACGCGGCGCACAAACCCAGCTGGCCATATTGTGCACCAGCTCTCCGCAAATCGGCTGCGTCACACCTGAAAAACACAAAAAGCAGCGCTGGAGCAATAAAGTCCGCACATCAGGAGAAATTCGCTCTTTTCAAAACGGTCCACGGCTGAGCTGGTAAGTGTTCGGATGCGGTAAATCGCATATATGTTTTTTTCACGGTGATGCATCAGTCCCATTATGGCGAAGCCTTGCGTGTCCTCTCCTGCGCTTTTGTGGTTAACAGGATTTCTCGTGGCCCACAAAGCGCCTCACATCATGCACATCGTTGTGTTGGATTTGTACTGCTGTTTGCATGTGTAACGAAACAACAAAACAAAATCACAATTCCACACTATGGTTCCTTGAACGATTGATGTAATCACAAAGGAGCAGAGAATAATCGTTAATGCCTCACGTTGAGGAATAATGAGCGCTTGTTTCACCCCCCTCAGGTTGGTGTTTTTTCGTGCAGGGAAAATGGTTAAACTGGGGAATAATTTCAGCGAGAAAAATAACGGGAAGGTGGTTTCTGAAGACGGATTTGACACCATCCCTCTCATAACACCATTAGATGCCAGTCAACTGCAGTTTCCTCCGCCAGATAAGGTAAGAATGATTTTTTTGTTTGATATTTTTTTCCATTGATTAGGAGAGTCAGCGAGTGAGTGATTAGTGTAATTATGTAATTCCAATTAGTCCAATTAAGCTGGTGAAAATGAAGTAAAACTACATTTTTGGGGGGTAACCAATAATCTTTACAGATCTACTGTTTCTTTCTGTAGAACAATACAAATAATGTTACCCATCCTGCTTCTGTGAACTCTCATTTCCTCCTAAAGCTATAGCTGCAAGCTGATTGGATTTTCTCTCATGTACATGTGTCTGTTATGTGTTTCCTACCAGGTGGTGGTGAAGACAAAGGCAGACTATGATGGTGAGAGCAAGAAGGGAAAGCTACGATCTCCTAAAATTGCAGAGTTCTCAATAAGCATCATCGAAGGTGTATCCGAGCGACTCAAGGTAAGAATTATGTCGCTGCCATCATGTGTTTCTTACATCATCCCATTTCCAGTATCTCTCACGCTCCTACACATCCATATGCCAGGAGAGCAGACAGCTGTCGCCCTGCAGCTCAGGACATTTGTCACCGCCGTCATAATATTTCCCCTCTCCAATCCAAGTTATACCCTTCTTTGCTCGGGCCACCTTCATCTCCTGTGTCCTGTGCAGCCTGTCATCTTGTCGGGCTACACAGGGAGACATAATGCACAATGATTCACTTAACCCCGCCCTGAAACCCTCATTAATTCAGCTGCTGCCATGGCGATGGCCTCCAAACGGCAGCATCTCTCCCACCTCCCTCAACGCCCCCCGTGGCTGGCAACCGTTCACACCATATAGAAGGATTAAAGCATATGCTCTTGTGAAAGAAAAGATCAGAACGCAATCCACATCTTGACTTTGGCTGACTGAATTGCATTATGTAGAAGACTTCCTTGCATACTTTAAAATTCATAAAACGCATAAAACATGTTCTGCATACAGACTGTGCAGTACTCTCCCGGTGCATTCAAAATCAACAGATGAAACCGTACCTGTGAGGTGTGTCAAGCTTCCTTTAGTAGTGGAGCTTTAATTCTCAAACATCTGAAAGGCAAGGAGGCACATCACTGTCTCAGAGAACACAGCTCGCATCCTCAGTGCTTTGAAATGCTGCAGGCAGCCCTTTCATCGCAGATAGTCTCTCTTTCATAATCTCCTGTTGCTTTGCTTTGTACATGTCGTACTGTCTGCTGTGCAACTGCAGGATTCGTACAGACAGATAAAAAGAATATCTTTTTTTTTTTTATTAAATTGATACATGCTGTTAACAATCTTATCAAACCTGTGCCAAACATACTGGGGAACAATACAAAAAGTACTCATGGCACCTTGCTCCCAATCCAAGAAATGTTCAGCACAGCATGCATTAAAAATCAAAATTTTTTCACTGTTTATTACAGAAATATAAAAGAAATCTCAGCTGGTACTTGAAATAATCAATTTCTGCACAAGCAAAGTAGCTTGTTCATTCTTATCGACTCATAAATATAATTTGCGCACACCTTGGGGCTTAACATCTTCGGCAATAATGAGGCAGTTTCTCCCACACCTTGTCTTAAAGCCCTCCCAGGGGTCCCCCCTCCCGAAACACCAGTGGCAGTTACATAACTCCCCTGAGAGGTGAGAGCTGGGCAGTACAGATGGTCACACAAGCTATTTTCTAGTTGAGTTACTATATGCAGAATGTCCTGTAGCCCTGACTGGCTCTTAGTTACTGTTATATATACATCCATATATTTAGATGTATAACTTGCTGTACAGCTCGCCTACACCAGTGTGCAACTCCATGTACCTTTCTTATTTGAATTCTGCTGCCTTGCACCGCTGTTTAACCTGTAATATAAAGAAAAGAGAAAACAATATGAATAAAATCTTTTGAAGACTTTTGATTTGTGGTGTCCTTTAGCAGAGCTGTCACACAGGTCTGATGATGGGGCTGTGTCTCCTTTAGGTGACCTTGCTGGTGATCTGTGCCCTGGCCTTCCTGGTGTGTGTGGTGTTCCTGGTCGTCTACAAGGTCTACCAGTACGAGCAGCCTTGTCCCGACAGCTTCATTTACACGGTAAACACTCGTTTTTTACCCTGACTGACAGCGATCATTTTGTTTTATTGTTACCTGAGTTAACCAATGTTCTTTTAGCATTGTTTTAAAAAGTGATATATAAATTAAGTTTATTATACAGAAAGTATGCCATATAGATTAACCATATAGACAGCCAGCCTGTCATATAACGGTGTTTATATTACAATTCGTTGCAAAGAAGCAAAGCATTTGCAGGCCCCCTCAAATCTACCCTTCGAATATCTGACAATATTCCACTTGTGTTACTCTTCCAGTAGCTTAGCATTTAACTATTTGCTTAACAGTAGCATTTAGTATGTCCCACAACTGTCGCTTGTAGTGGCATTGTTCGGCAAAAGTTACATGATCTTACTGTAAAATGGGGTTTTACTTATTTTCTAAATAAACCTTATTCAATTTCATAGACACCTGTACAGATTAGGTAATGACGCTGAACTTGTATTGAATCTTTTTTTCCGGTCTGTTTTTGGTATTAAGCGACAGCTTTTGTCATCTAACTGCAGTTTCTTTCCCAGAATTCCATGACACTTTTCCCGAATTGTAATTTTATCACCTTGTGGTTGTTTTTCTTTTCTTTTCACATTGTCTCGTCTGAATATTCTCAATCTCGTTCTCTCTCTCTTTGGAGCAGCAAGGTCGCTGCATGCCGGCTGGGATGTATGGCAACTACCCCCCTCAGGGCCCTGGGGGCCGCGGGCGCCTCTTTACCCTCATCAACCACTACAACATAGCCAAGCAGACCATCACCCGGTCAGTATCACCATGGATGACCATCATGTCTGAGGAGAAGGTCACCCAGCAGGAGACGGAGACTGCCCAGAAACTGGCTTAACCAACCTGGGCTCAGGAGGTGGCCTCACCTGCTGCAGGAAATAATAAATAATATGGTTGTGCCATTCAAGCAAACCTCAGAGTCCTGTGGGTGAAAAATCAACTTCTCTTACCTGAGGTGCTCTGCTGCCTTGTTGATGTAGTTTGGTCAGCTGATGTGTACTGTAGCAGGAAATCTGTGGAAATCTTGAGCGTTTTTAGCAAAGCAAGCCTTACAGTTGGGTGGATTCATGGTTTGTTTGAATAGCATATGTTATTATTTATTCACACTTCAAAACAGAGTGGCAAACGTGTAGAAAAAGCCACAGAAATACAAACAGACACACACACACTGTCTTTGTACATACACATATGTAACAGAACTCACTTTAGTACTCACATTGTGAAATGACTGTGAACCATCTCGTGTCTGCGTCGCTTGTTTTAACGCACATGCACGCACGACTCTAAAAACAATCATTTTGCTTTGAACCTCTTTTCAAATACATCAAGTACTGATAGCGCATGTCAGACCTCGTGAGGTCCAGCAAGTGGTAACTTTTTCATAAAGTGCCGAAGTTTGCAGCATATTTGCAACCAAGGTTATCTGTGTCAAAATATTTTACTGTCATGGTATTGTGAATAAATGAGGCTTGACCTGGAGGAAACCTTTTAACCAGCGGAAAAAAAAACTATTTTAATCGTGTTGTTTTTGACGCAGCCCATACTGCTCTCTGCATATAGTGCTGTTAAGGAGTTTTTAGTATTTGATGCATCAAATCTTTTTAACCAGCATTAATGATTGTCTCCATTCATTTGAACTCTTGTGAACACCATGTGCTTTTCTTTGCCAGCTCCACAAGACTTAGTTAATGGTTACTTTAATAGCATACATTTTATGCTACTGTATTGAATGTTTTTGCATTGCTAGTGAAGACACTGTATTGTGCAATGCTTTGCATTGATTAATGTCACCACAGATGGCTGTTGGTAGCCATCACAGATACTAGACTTAGGTTGATGTAGTGGAACAATCTGACAGTAGTCGCTTGTCCTGTTGCTTTTTTCTGTATTTGTCATTTAACTTAAACTGTCACAAATTATGTACCTTTTTCAAACAATGTAATGATTACCATTGAAGTGCATTTGCTACATACAAATGTTAAATGAAAAACTGAAATAAAGTGCCCACATTTCACATCAATGTCCAAGTGGAATTAATGTATGGATAACAACATGAACTATTTCAAGAGTAAGTCTAGTCAGTAATGCTGAAACTCCCTCAGTGCAGAAAATAAATACAGTTAACAGCTCCAGTTCCCTTGAGTTAAGATCAAAGAAAAATGTCTAAGCCTTGTAATGCTTTACCCAGAATATAGGTTAATCCTAATAAACAGATTAGCTGAAATATCAGGAGGCTGTGTGAATCAAATCTCCTGTCAACAGCTTCCTTTCTTTCGCTGACATGAGCCAAGACAGGCCCTTGCTCTTGATGTTATCTGAAAGCTTGACATAAATATGAAATTCATTAACTGTTATACCCTGAGGTAAAGAAAGACGATACAGAATTTAATTAAGAGAATTACTTAGTTTTACTAGAATGTGAGTGGTGTGTCAGTACAGTTACGCTGTGATAGACATCAAATAAATTGTTCTGCTTCTCATAATTGCCTGGAAAGGAAAACATTCCTTACATTTGACAGTGAAGTATAATGTATATGTCACTGAGGGACACAAGTTTATAATGTATATAAATAATGTACATGAGACAGCAAGGCAATGTAATGTCAGTCTGCACAGTATCCTTTAGTCTGTTCCAAAAGGCATCAACAGAAATCAATGGTTTTTTTCAGTCAGTCAGAACAAGAGTAGTAGCCAATCAAACCATTATCACTGCTTTTAGTGGCGGACAAAGACCAATTGTCCAACCACACACACACACACACAGACACACAGACAGTGCTCCATACAAAGTTCTCCTCCACAGAAGTGCTTTTAAAGACTGAAACTAGATAGCATTAGGGAAGAACAAACTGCCGTCTTCACTTGAACACAGAATCTTCATGAAGAACATGCTGTTGCTTTGTACATCAGGTCCAGCGTGGTAAACTGTACATTCAGTCTCAGTGTTGTCGTCGTTTCTTATCGAGATAACCAAAATGTGCCGGAGCTAGACTGTTTCCTGTCGTATAGAGTCCATGCTGACCAGCTGTGTTAGCTGTCATACCAGTCCAGGAAGAGGAGAGAGAAAGAGCACATGACCAGGAAGAAGAGGATCCATACCCGGAAGCCGGCGTTGTTTTTGATTGCCTTATGATAGAAGTAAACAAAATTACCTTTACTGCTCAGATTTATCAACCAAAGGAAAACATAAAATAAAAAATGAATAGCACATGTGGACTAGATGGAATGGTTGTTTTCATTTAGGGAATGTTACCTCTCGTATATCCTCATTGCCTTCTTTGACATTTTCTGTAGCACCCACAACCAGCTGATGAATACTGTCTATCTCCGTTTCCTGTCAAAGAAAGTGAGGTGGAAAATGAGTTTAGGTACACCTTGTCCTCAAAATACTGTGTTTTTAAGTGACTGGAATGGAAAGAACTCACTTGGTGCAGGACTTTCTCAGCAAAGATCTCCTGCAGTCGAGAGATCTCCACCACCTTTCCCTCGATTTGCCTGCCACACACAAAAGGAGCACATGAAATATCGAATAAAAACTGGGTGCTTAGCATATTTAAGCCTTTCCAGATGACATTAGGATTACAGGGACAGGTCTGGTGTTTAATAATTTTCACCTCAGGACCATTTAGTTCCATCTGGAACAAACATATAACCACAGTTATAATCTCATCTGCAAACACCTATGTCCTTGGGTCAATTTAATCCTGTCTGGATCGACATCTGGTATTTCACATAATTGTTGTATTGCTCACCTGGCATTTCAATCAGTGGGGCAATGTAATTTAGTGGGAGGGGAAGTGACATTGCGTAACACATTCACACAAGAGTGCCTCTGGATTTTACCACAGCTCGCTGGTAAATAATTTTACTGTTCTGGTGTGTGTAAACAGAATGCAAGCACTGACATCCCCTGGTAATAGCCATGCTGTTCAGAACAGATAAAAAGGAAAAAAAGGGGGAAGTAACGTCTGTGCTGAGTGGGACTCACCTCACTTCATCCACCAGGCTGTTCATCTCACTCACCAACCTCTGGTTCTCCTGCTCAAACTAGTCATAAACCCACAAAAATAGAACATATTCATCAATAATGCCTATGTAGATTGTAGATTGTAGAGTAACTACAAGTTAGGATATGCTGTATTATGTAAACTATCTAGCCAAAAAGGCTAAATTAAAATAACTGTGTACTTTTGTGACTTGACAGACTGCAAGTTATATTTGTAATGACAAAAGCCTAAATGAGTCTGTTATTTGAACCTCCTCAGTAAAGCATTGAATGTGTTCTTTACTGAATCCCTGTGCATTTAGACTTCTTAATCCTCATGAGACACACATGAATCATACAAATCTACATCATTCTGTATGACATAAATACTGAATATGTCTGAGGTGCCACACCATCTGGATCTCCTCCGGAGAGAGCTCATCCTCCGCTCGGCCCTCCTCCCACAGGTTGACAGGGTTGTCCAGGACCTCTGATACACTCTTTTCTACAGGACAGAAAACAGACAACTTCACTTGTCTACAAAAACTCCAAACGCTCACTCCATCATTCCCTCTGTCCATCTAAATCCCTCGATTAGTTCCTAATTCTGTCTTTGGAGGGAAAAATATAACCCTGTGTGTTTATTTAGATTAATTTATTTAGATGATTATTTAGTGCCTTGTAGTCACTTCACATTTCAGCACATTGGACTGACAGTAATATAAATTGAAGGAGTGCAGTAATTAATCGTTATCATGAGACATTACACCTTGGCTGTGGACTCAGTGGGGCTTGATGAAAATGGCTCATTAATAGGATAGGAGAGTGAAAAGGGTAACAGAAATATCATTGTTGTCTGAGAGGTTCAGTGGCAAGGTGACAATATACAGTACAAACATTGTGCTGCCAAACACAAATGATCAGCCTCTTTAATGACTGTTTATAGAGATTCTTAAAAAGGTCCAGGTATGATGTTTATATAATGACATATATTTTATAATGCAACACAGTGACAGCAATTTAATAGCAATTATGTGCATTTTTTTAAAGTGAAAATGAGTCAATTTAAACTAAAATCATTTTGATGCCTTCAGTTTGTTTCTCTAAAGTGATAATAAGGTTGAGGAAGTAGTGTCTTTAAGCAGTTTTCATGGTACACATAATAATCCTGTTAACATGATAACAACAATGAGACTAATTGCTTTTTGACTGACTACTATCAAACCTAACTAACATTGTTATTACCATAATTACGCTATAACACATTATAATGCCATTAAAAATCCATTTTAAAATTAAAAATGTAATGCTGCTGTTGCCATTAGAGCTGGAATGAAGTTGACGATGGCCCTGAGAACGTTGAGTGATGTAGAGAGGACTGGGAACTTTTATCTTATTGCCTCTAAAAATGTGTCCCTGTGAACTGTGCGGTGCATCCCTACATGTGAATGATTCCTGATTACATAAACCTGCAGAATTACAAGGTAATGGTTGTGGCTTCATCAAAGCACCGTCGTCAGGCATAATGGTGCTGACTGTGTCATGGCACTTTTCAAATTTGAGGCTGCAGATGAAACACAAAGACCGGCCTGCTAACTTTAGATGGCTGTGGAAATGTAAATAATGTATATAACATGTTACATTGTATACTTTTATACAATGTAAAGACAGATAATATACAGGTAATAACCACCCATTCATCTTTATTGCAGAATATGATAGGCTTCAATCAAATGTACCTACTGGTTTAACCTGGGCTTTTACTTTTATATTTAGATTCAGGTTCAGGGTACATAATTGTACCAATAGGTAGATTTAGTTTGCAGTAAAAGACAATGAATTCCTTACAACTCAGACAATTGACAAACATGACACAACTTGAAAAAGTGCCATTATAAAAACGAGAAATAACAAAAACAAACCATTAAAATAGACAGTCACTAGAATAGATGAGGTGAAAGGGCAGGTAAAAAACTGCTACTACAAGGCCAATTTTATACCACTTTGTTCTTGGGACTATAAACCTCTGTCCGTTGACATAGTTACGGTGCATTTCTATCATTAGTTCCACATTTTCTTGCCCTGCACAGAATGCGTGGAAAAGTGCACTTTACAGGGCACAGAAATAGCTAAATACACAATAATGCCAAACCAGCAAAGAACAAGTCATGGTCAGTAAACACGAACATGTAGCAGAATATCTTGTACCTCTTTGTGTGCTGCCACATAAATAGAGTCCAGTGTCTCAGGGGACTCACTTACCAGTACTTTCCTCCTTGACAGTCTTCTCCTCCGTGGGCTCCACTTCTGGCGCTCTCTCAACCTTACTGTGGTGCTCTGGGGCCAGTCTGGACCTGAAACCACAGAGCAAAGCGTCATGTGAATCAGGAGCAAACTGTTGCAAAAAGTTGCAACAGTCCTAAAAAGTCCTCCTCATAGAAGCACATTTTACTACTCACAGCCTCTTCTTGTCCACCATTCTCTTGACCCGGATGGCTCTCTGCTCAGAGTACAGCTTGCATACTCCTGAAAAACAATCGACATTCACATGATGTTACCATGCGGTCCTCACGTTGTTTTCCAATGCAAACAGCAATCGGGGCTCATACCCACTACTCCCTGAGCCTTTAAATGTCCTAAAGATAAACAAATGGATGCATACACAATAGTCCATAGAAGACAAGCTATAAGACGTGTGCTGTCTGAATGCATGAACTCACCTCTCAGATACATTTCAATGAGGTCCAGCACGGCTCCTCTATGCTCCTTTATCTGGGCTGATGTCACCTGCTTCTCCGCTATCGTGACAAGAGTAACACATTCACTTATTAAAAACAAACTCAAAAAAAGTACAGACAAATCCAATTTCCTCTCAGCTCCCAGGTTGATTTAAAAGTCAATAAACTTCAGAGGCCAGTTTAATCTGAGTTGTATCTTTAATGTATGCTGCACAATGCAAGACGGAACTAGCACCACCTGAAAGCATATTCTACATTTACAATGATATTATTATTATAATATATAATTATATTTATAGAGTGGTTAATGTGCTGCACAGTAAAAGAAGCACACACCTTCATTGCGTAGCTGCTTGATGGCCTCAGAACAAGTCCTCATGAAGATCTGAGCGTCCTGGTCAATCTGGTCTCGTTCATTGTCCGTCATACGGGTAAGATCTGACGAGATGAGACTGTAAAACACACAAGAACAATCACAGTGATTTCTTTGAGGGCATGTTTCAAAAGCTGAACCTTATACTTATATCCAAACAAACCCTATCAAGCATTATGTGCAGCAGAGACCAATCCCATCAAGCACTGGGAAGATGGCAGAGAAACCCCTGAAAATGCCTTCAGACCACAAATGGGCCAGTTAAAGTTTCCAATTCCTGTGTTCAGGTTTTATTACATGAAGAGGAAATTGAAACAATCTGAGGAAACCTTTACAAACATGAGGAAAACATGAAAACTCATTATTGTGACTGAAACATACTGTAGGACCTTCTTGCTGTCAGATCTGAGATTGTCTCCCTCTGGTGGACACAAGACACAATGACTCTCCGTAGCTAAGAACATGAAGGGATGGTGATGATTCTATTCTGCTGTAAAGGTGGATTCGGACTGGTTAGATTGGATTTTAAAATGGTAAGTCAGCAACTACTTAGATAATTAAAGGTGGGGTAAGCAATTCTGGAGAAATCCAATACTATGACAAATGATTTCATGTGAACAACAACCGAGAAGGTTGTAACATTGTGATGTAACGTTATGTTGTGGGTTTGCAAACTGTTGCTAATGTTGCTGCTGTGAAGCTGACACGCAGAGAGGATGAAATGTTTTCCACAGCTAGCACACCAGCTCCAGACAAAGTAGACAGTAAGCTGACTTGCCCAGGGACTGCGGTTAAAAAGTGTGAGTGGCAAAACTGCCACATTTACAGAATGTCCATTAATGTGCACTGTGCCTGTAACTTTAAACTGTATAAATACATCAATGAATGAATGAATTTCCATGGGGCAAGTCATTTAATATTACCTTATTATTATTGACACACAAATCCTGGCTGGAATAGCTGGAATAACAAGTTAGAATTGTGTGGCTTTGTCCAATCCACTTTGTTTCCCATTTACAGAGCCAGGGCTGTATACAGTGCAGAGTACACAGAGTGGAAAGCTAGCAAACTGCTAGGAGATACTTGAAAAAAAATGTACTGTATTAGAATCGCATTACCTAGAATCATTTATCCCATCTTCACTCAATCGTTAAAGTAATTTTTCAGAAAAAAATGGCAAACATTTTCTTCATATGTTTGGCTTTTGGACTGCTGGTTGTACATCAGAATTTATTGATGTTGCATGTCTGGGAAATTGTGATCTTGTCTTTTGAGAAAATAATTGACAGATGTATTGATAATGAAAATAAGCATTAGAGGCAGCCACTAAAGAAATCAAACATGAAAGAACAAAGATGCAGTGATAAAACACAAAGTTGAACAAGTCATCCTTCAACCTACTTACAGTGACCTACAGAAGGACTTTAAGATGCCGCCGTAACGTGTTATAACATATTCTATTTGATTCAAGAGCACCATCAATCGGGCTTTTACTTTAACCGTAGTAATACTTGGTCTGAAATGATTACTAGCTAAGCCTATTCTGTAAGCATTTGGAAGTAAACTCTGTATAATCCATAGTCTATAATTATTCTGTCTGTGGAGGAAAAAGGAAGTTGATAAGTAAATTGGAAAACAGGAACGGCTAATGACGAGACTTGCACACATACCACTGATGGCTTCTCGATGGATTTTCCCACCACTAAATACTGCTGCGCTCCACCCACTGACATCTCTAATGTTTAGTTAATGCGCTCTGTTGAGGCTTTATCAACAAACCTAACAAAACACTGGCTACTCCACACACCCACACCTACAAAACACAGAGGGGGCCTTGAAGGGAGGAAGGCCTGGATTAGTCCCAGGGCGTGATTTGTTCTTCACTTGGTTGCAGCTCAATTATTCCAGACAATTAGACTGGAGACTGCCGCTACAGACCACCCTACTCGCTGCTGACCTTGTGCCAGCAGACAGCCCCTGCAGCACACACACATACACACCAGAGACATATCTGACAGTACCTTCAAGTAGCCCTGACTCCTGACCTTCTCTGAATTTTGTCAAAATCAAAGTGTTTGTCTCTTCTCCGGCCTCCCTCTGCAACCTTGAGGGGCTTTTACCACTGCTGTTGTCGATTGTGGTGGATTACTGCGACCGTTTGGAGAGGCTTACCTTCCGGCGCTCACATAATCTTTCCTGTGTTGTAGTAGAAAGTCTTTGAGCTTGGTGATGTTTGTGATCTGTCAAAATAAAGTGAGAAGAAGCATTACTTGACTGCATTACCATCATGTCAATGAGTCTGTTTAAATGCTGTGCCTCAGTTGCTCCGTCAAATGTGTATGCTCAAGAAAGAAGTTTTTAGACGTGTACCAGGAAACTATTTTCTCCCAACTACATTTAGACAGAGCCAGAGTAAATGTATAATTTTGTGTTTATTGGATGTGACAGGCGACCAATGTCCGTATAACTCTGTGAATTCTCAATATTTGCTTTTGACAATTCATCAAGTCTGGGACATACAAAAATCAAACCTGCAATTTCCTCGTCAAACAGCTCTCATAAATAAAACCATGAGCGGCTGCATACAGAGCACTGAAAGAGCCATCTCTAATAAGCTTTAAATTCATGATCTGTTACTATTTATCACTGAGAAAATGTCCAAGTGTGTGTGTGTGCACAGGGAAACCAGAGGAAACTTGGTTCAATCCAATATTTGCTCCTGTAATTCGGTCAAATATTAAAAAAGACCAAATTGCTTCCCTGTCCACAGAGCTCTGCTGGCAGGGTACAAGTGGGTGTGAATACGCACACAGCAGGCTCTGTTAGATCCAGAAGAAGACAGAACTCAGACAAGCTAAGGATTGAAAAATGACACAATGAGTTTGACTGTGACAGGGACCCCAGAGCGTGGGAGATTATTTTGATAGCATAACGACGCTGTCTTCGGCCTTCGGCTTTTTCACTCTAACAACCTCAATTATCAAATTGCCTTGGCTGTGAGGGGTAACCTGGCACCAGCCGTCTAATAATGTCTCTAAACATTCATTCCTAGCCTAACGGTGACTTGAAGCAGTGTTTTATTTGAGCTGACATTTGAAAAATGACAAGTTTTTCAATGCTGAAAGAAGGTGTCAAGATAAACAGAGGTAAGCAATTTGTTAGAAAGCTAGAACTCAGTCTTTGGTTTAGAAGGTAATTCAGTGACGTATGACACTGCTGTGGGGCGCTAACTCGGGCAAGGGCTGTTAAGGCAAGCCGACCCTTGTAATAATACAATTATTTGAGGTCAAGAGTTAATTGTTGTTCAGAGCAGTTGAGCTTAGAGGGGGTTCAGGGGAGAAGACAACCTTTCTCATGGTTCAAAGTGTATTAAAACTCCGTCTGTGTTGTAGTGTCGCAGTGAATGAGGAAACTTTGAAACGAGCTCCTGCGAGATTGGTAGGATTTTCCAAAAGTGCAGCCATAAAACCTCCACTGAATAAGCTGCTTTTTATAATGTCCTGCGTGATCCTGTTGGTTGGAAAAGATCTTTTTTTTAAACAAACAGACAATAATGTTTTCTTCAGCAATTAAATCATGGATTCATCCAACTCAATATGTATCTTACAGTACAAAAAGAAAACAAATGTTTTTCTTCATTCATAGTCTTTTGTGATCATTTTGATTGGTGGTTCATCTAGGAGTATTATAGCTCACCTCCTATAAGAAACACTCAAGTCTATTGTGAAGTATTTAACCTGGCCTAGAGCTGAAACAATTAGTTGATTAATCAATAAGTCAATCAAACAAAATCACCTGCAACTATTTTTTTATAATAAGTCATTGTTTAAGCAAAAATAACTACTACTATCCCCATCATCATCAAATGTGAATATTTTTTTAATCTTCTGTGATTGTGAATTAAATATTTTTGGTGGATTATTCGTCTGAGAAAACAAGATGTTTTATGACATGGGCTCTGGGCTCTTTCTGACATTCTATAATCAACTAATCAATGGATAATAAAAAATAACTGCTCAATACTGCCCTAATGTCATCTTGTAAAACTACTGTCAATATATTTATCTGTATTTTTAAAAGGAGGCCAAATTTGTCCAGACCTGACCTTTGAGTGCTAAAGATGAAGCATGATGAGGCAATTGTCATGATCTCATTAAGCCTTCGACTCCCTTATCTCAAGTAAAACCAGCTCTGGTGGTAAAATGGTTATTTACAGCCACAAAAACCACTGTGGAAGCACACTTTTGAGTTTCAGTAATTCTCAGTTTTTAAGACTATCCTTGGCCTGCCACAAAGTGGAAAATATAACCTCTTACATGGCATGACTAATTTATCTTTAACTATAAATTATATTTTATACTTAGCCTCAGCCTTTTATTTATGTGCTAACTATATTTGCCTGCAGACCTCTGTCCATGGCACTGCACATGTTTGACCAGCAGGCAGTGCTAAATCCACAGCATTGGAACATGCTGAGTCGGACAAGGAACGAGTGGGAGGTGTGCGTGTGTGTGTGTGTTGTGGGGGTGCCGGGGAGTGTCAAGACTGCTGCTCTGGGGGTTGAGCTGTCTCTTGTGTGTATACATTGGAGCTCAGATTCCCCGCACAACCTCAAGGGTTTGTAGGGGGTCAGAGGGATCAATTGCTCTTGTAACTTAAGACCCCAAAGAGCAAGTAATTCCTCAACAATGAGGAAGGGGGTGGCCATGTGCATGTGGCTCACCGTATATATGTGTGTGTGTGTATGCAGCTATATGTGAGCGTGTGTGCGTGTATACATGCAACCGCCATAGGTGTGTGTCAGGCAGAGCTCACAGCGAAGGCAGAAGGAGACAGTCTGCCGGGCTACATCTAATCTCGTCATCATCAAAGACCCCCACTTTACCTCCTCACTTTCTCCTTCCCCCTTGCTTCCCTCCAGCCCCAATTGAGCCCAAACAAACCATCAGGGGGGATTATTATGAGGAAGAAAAGAGAAAAGGCTTAGCTAGCAGATTTCTAAAGAGCTTGGATGGCTCTTTGTTTTGTTAAATGCAGGTAACTGACAGAATTTGATGATGACTGCCCCGCTTTGGTTTAAGTCCCTGTGTGTCCTGACCGAAGGCTATCCATACTGACGCCACGCTATGTTGTGTATGTGGGCCTGATACAGAGAGGATGCTTCAGCGGAGAAGACGCATGTTGATTCTATTATCATGTTTATGTCTGACTCTCTAATGGGTTCAGTTTTGTCTTCTTATGTCTATTTACAGCTAAAGTGCTTTAGTCAGCTCTATAAACAAACAAAAGGTTCCCCCAACGAAAGCTTTTCAGATTATTTATGAACAGGGTCTTTGACCTATTTTGAAATGTGCTAAAGTTATATCTACGTGTTTCATTTAGATTCAAAGCTGTAGTAAGCGACATTTGTATACAGTCTTGCCGTTTGTTGATCATGCAGGTCAGATCCTACATGGATACAAAAAACAAATACTGAGGCACATCAGTGGCGATGTTGTATGTTTGAAAGAGTACAAAGCTGCCACTGTGCTGTAACGCTGAGTCACATCTCTATATCTTTTCCCTTTTACAACAAATTGAAAGTGTTTTAGAAGCATCTTTGTCAGTCGCGAATCAGAGATCCGACTGAGACCGGCCGTGTAGGTGACATCACCGTTGAGACAGGTCTTGTGTTCTGTTTTGGACAAAATTCGATGGAAACTACACAGCTGCATTCTGAGGCTATTAAATCACATTTTAACAATCAATTTCACAAGAAACAGATGTATTGGCTGGGACTGTCACGTTTAACTCACAAAACGTGGACACTAGAGTGCACAAAATAAAAGAATAAAAACAGGCAGCGGTAACATCAAGTGACACACGTCACACAAGATCTGATATATTGTACAGAATGTATTGCGATCCTTTAAGGAGCGTGATTATGTAACACTGTGATAGTAGTTTGTGATTCCTGCAACAAATCTTTGAACAATCAGAACATGTCAAATTATCTGTCTGTTAGTCAGGTAAATCACCAGTTCCCCTCCCTTCCTCTCACTCAGTGTTCACATCTAGATAGTACTTACTATTGTAATATACAGTAACTAACTTGCCCTGAAGACTTTGCACACACCTTGGATTTACACTGGCAAAGTGCCTTCTTTTTGATTTATTTCTGTCAAGTCATTTAATAATAAGTAATAAATATGCTTATACAGCAGCTTTCCATCTCTATGCCATAGGTGGTGTTGCTAAATTTGTGTGGGTACTTCTGGAGAGAAAAACACTCTCGCTCTGGTTTCCAAATTTCACATTTAAGGTCGAGGTCAGACAACTGTTGTAAAGACAAAAACCAGAGGAACTGTGCATATAGAAAAAATGTCGGATAAGTATCTAATACAGTATTGATTTAAATAAAGTCATTTAATTTGAGGAATGACGAAAGTAACTATAAGCAAAGTGGGTATGCCTGGAAACAGACTAGAATTCTAATACTGTATCTAATACTCAGGCTTGAACAAACAAACAAGCACCAGAGTAACTTTTTCTCTTGACCTTTGCCTTAAACAATGAATTTAATGTACTGTAGAGGAATGGTGATCACAGCTGAAAAGTAAACAATGTGTTTACTGTTACAGTAAACAACATTTTCTGCTTTAGTTTGAATTGCTGTATTAAATATCAATGAGAAATGACTATGCATAATTAATACCTCATGTGTTATAGCACCAACATCTTAATCTAGACCAACAAGAACACTAGTCTCTTTTAGAGCTGTCTCTAAGTAGAGGAGCACACATCTGTTGCAGTTTCATGGTTCAGACTCTCTGTATTTGGAGTGTCAGGGTTAAGTATGCAGTCTGCTGTCATCTGTATTGGTAGTATTTCAGCATTTGTAACTCACAATAACTAAGATTGTCTAATGACAAAGCCTGACAACATTCTTCAAAAAGCATCAACAGCTGCTGCTTTGGTTTGGGAACACATTTAAATGTTTAAACTGAACCTAGTCTATTGAGCTCAACATTACTTTTGTTCCGCTTAAACTATTTGGTCTGCAGAGTACAGTATCTGGTGTCCATCTTATGATTTAGAGTTTGACATACATCTGTAAATCTGCATTTCACCTCTTTTTCCTCTTTTATTTTCATTTTCATGAATCATGCAGGAACATTTTGTTGCATGCAGTGAAACCAAATCAAGACTGTGCTCAGGCATGACAGCAGATGCTTCAAAATTCAATTTGCCTGGCTTTCATGGGAAAACAGTGCAGAGATTAGGCCGACTGGTAAAGAGACCATTTAGCAGCACGTTCATCTCATGGTGATCCCTGCAAATCACTTCCCCATGGCTGAAGCACTGACTTAGTATAGTCTTGGCTTTGACAGCTATACGTGAGCATGTTTTTACCTATGTGCCGATGTAGCTCGATGAGTGTAGAAATGAAAGAGGAAACGTTTTGAGGTGTCTTGGGGTTGGAAAGATTATTCCACTTTTATTCATATGTTTTTGGAAATAATGTTACATAAAAATATATATTGCAAACCTCCATAAAATGTGCAATATAAAGAAGCTTCAATGAAATTATGTTGTCTCATGAGACAATATCCTATCAAATCAAAGTCAGGATTTTGTTTTTTATTTGCTATATATATTTTTTTTATTCTCTCTATAAGGCTCTACAGTACTTAGGCTTTGTGCTTTTACCATAAATGTTTTAACTTTGTTACCTGACCGACAATAACTTTTATTTTAATTAGAGGCCTGGCAAATATATATACCTAAGGAAGAATATTTAGTATAATGAATATATGAGTCAGTAATTATATAGTACTATATATATTTATATATAAAAAAGTCAAAAGGGCAGTTTTCCACACTAGTGCACTTTATTCCCTAAATGGCTGACATTAACTCATAAATGTCACTGCTGTACACCATCTGCCCAACATGACCTAATAAATGCAGAAGATCATCAGATAAAGAAATTATTTGGGCAGATATAGTCCAGAGTATCTCCAAAACATACCTTTTATGAAATTGTGAATGTTTAAAAAAAACATTTTGGCTTTGACATGTATCATTACTAACACAAATATCAAGCAAACCCGACTCTTAAAATTCAAACGAAATGTTTTGAGAATATACTAGCATACTCTTTCAATGTGAAAGTTGTCATAGGGAAGAGACCCCCCCTCCCTAACAGCACAACATACTTTTAAGTGCTGGCTGAGGGCCACACTTTTCAGGGTTTCTAAGAAATCACTGTGAGAAGCAGCCTATTTTGGAATACCAATACTAAAGGCACAGTAGGGAGCGAAGCACTATTTTCTACACACAATTTACCAATTTTAAAGTGACCTCCTCCATTTAAACTCGAGAAGGGCAGCATGCTGTGGAGAGAGACGAGGTGAGCGGTGAAATGGAGATCATAGTGCCCCAAACCGACCCCTATGAGGTAAAAGATTCCCCTGACCAAACCCCACCCTGTAAACACTGGCCCTCTTATTAGTCAATCAGGCCTTTTTTGAATTGCCTTGAAAGAAGCTGCATTTCCTTTCTCATTGAGTTGCTTTTTGAATGGGAAAAAACCTCATAGGACCACTGTGTATTTGTCAACTTTGATGTTTTCTTTCTATTTTTGTGAAGCTTCGGTGGGAACTTGGAGAGTTATGCATGTCTTGAAGGGCACCCACATCTGTTGTGCATTAGGTGCCGGCCGTCAACATTGTTACTGAGGACCTAATTTAATATTTTCTCTGTTTTGATCTTCCACCTTTAATCACTGGCTCTTGGGAGGATCGGCTTTCCCCAAGAAATTGTTCAAGAGCCGAAAGAAAATGTTATTGCAGCATGTTTATGGAATCATACATGTGAAGAGCGGACTTGCACAAAAAATGCTGCCTATGTCAGGCTGTACAGAGAAGAATGGAGAGTTGAGTTGTGGGTGAAAACCGCAACATAACTGTAAGCAGTCAGGACATTCCAAACTCGCAATTTCAATTTCTACAAAAGCTGCTTCATCGAGATGGTTTGAGATTATATCTGCAGCACGAGGGAGACAGCAGTAGGGGGGAGGAGAGCAGAGGGAAGGCACCACAGGATAGGTTTGGGTTTCTTTGAATCAGCACCACTGCTTTTATTAAACCACCATTTCTAATATCAATGTAACAGAACATAACAAAACCCTGGTTGTGCAGAGCTGCTGCGACTGGGCTCACGTTTGCCTCAGACTGATGGTTGGAGACATCAGGTACAACTTAAAGTCCTGACTCCCCGAGGGAAACGTAAAGTGGTTCTTCAAGGTGCCTTTGAAGAGGTTTGTGTTCATGGTATACATGTCAGGCCAAAGACTTCTGGCTGTAGAAGCAACAATCGTGGCATGGAGCAAAGCCTTTTAGTTGCCAATAATTCATCTCCTACTGCCAACCATTGACAATGTCTAAGTGCCTCAATGGAAGAATAAAATTTGAGCTGTTTTGTCAAAATTCCTGAACTAATTAAACGCCAATGGTGCCCTGCCAAGTTTTTAAGGTCAGTTTCCCATGACAAGAGGTTCAAAACAACTTTTTTCCCCCAACAATATATTTAAGGCTATGTGAAATTTTCAACAATTTAAATCAAGATTAGTACACAGTAAGCTAAGTCTTTCAACAGACGTACTGAAACCAAAGCTGTCAATACAATTACAACCTATAGATAAACATTGAGCTAGGTTTGAATGCTCGTTTCAAATAGTTCACGACATTATAGGAAAACTTGCCATGTCCTTTCAATCTAAATGAAGTGAGGAGAAGGCTCTCCACTACTTTTATAAGTAATGTTTCTGCTTCAGCAGCCTAAAGTCTAGATCACATTGGGCAATTTTCCGGGTCAGTTCAAAGCCCAGAATCCAGGCCTGTCAGTGTTGGGGGAGAAGTGACATTTGAACCTGACAGTTGGCACAAAATATTCTGGGCTCAAAACTGCTGAGTCTGGCCAGTTGGCCCACTATGATTTTTTTTTCAAACAACTTAGCCTTTGTCTTCCCAGATCTCAAGCAGAGCAGTCATTTATTCTGAACTGCCCAGACTGGGCAGGATTTGAAAATTCCTGTAGTCCAACCAAAGTTCAAGTAAAAATAGGGACAATTGTATGAATGCTATGTTATTTCAGTATGTTCCCTGTGTACAGTAGATGACATTTTTGCAGTGATTTATCTTCAGAAGTGGTCTAACTTAGGTTAAGTTTTTGTAATATTCTTTGCAGTCTTTAGTCCATACAGTATTTATTCATGTCTACTTGAAAACAATAATTGCTGGCCATGATATGCTCACATTTCACAGGAATATAATGGTCAAGCAGGCGCACAATAAAGCAGGGCAGAAGAGGACATTGCTTTGTCTGAGAGAGACAATTTATTTTTAATTATGTAGAAACATCAGTCCCTCCCTGCTTTGTGAGTGGGTACAGACAAGCAGGACTGTACACAAAACATGTGCAATGCATGAATCTCTGCTCTGTCGATCAGTTACGTGTAAAACCTGTGCCAAAGATGTACAAATATGTGCCAAAAGAGACATTAGATTAACTGCAAAAAACTAAATGCCAGCTGTAAGAATTTTAATCTAACCTATTTGTTAACTTCAATTTACAACCTTAATGCCAAAAGAGTAGGCACCCTGCAAGGCGAGTTGGAGAAAGACGCAGAGTCAACAGCAGACAGATCGTTCCAGCCTAGCGCCGTTGTGTAGGTAATGGCTCTGTGGAAAGCTACTTTGTCTTGAATACATGGAATGACAATGCATCCTTTAACATGTACATTTGGGTTTACAGAAAAGACTAAACTAGTGCATCACTACTATTACTACTGTACAGTTTAAGAAAAGTGATTTCCTTTTTGAGAGTTGCAAATAAATAACACAATTCAGAGGGAGAAACATACAGCTCTGACTCACTGTGTGATATGGTCATAGTTTCTGGTTTGAAAGAGTGTTTGAAGAATTAGAGAATAAAGTTTACATAGTCAATACTATATGGTCATATGAAAATGTTTCTTGAACATCATATATCACTGGCCTACACAAGGCACATTTTGCCACACACTTTACACCAATATGGTTATTCCTTTAATATCTCTGGGTGCAATAAAGGATAAACATGTCAGCTTTATGGTAACTAGATTTCAGCATCAATGTGTTAAAGTGCCTTGATTAGTCAGTTATTAACTTTACTTGATTAGCATAAAACAGACATTGTTGCCTGGATATTTTATCAATCAATAGTTCATCAGTGTATTTGCTAGGCAATACCATCCTATAAAGTAACATATACATTGTAATAGAGGATTTTATTCATATAGCCCAGTCACACTGGATTGATTTTGCATTTAGCGAAGTTGTGACACTAAAGAGAAAGGCCTTGCTAACTATGAACAGCTAGCTAGTCCACACTGTACTAAAGTCACGCATTGAGGTTCAGTTTAATCCCCAACCACACCAGAGAACTGCCTAACTTTAAGTTCACATTTCCTAAACGTGCTGCTGCTCCTACAATACACCACGAGCAGTAACTCCACCACCACCACCACAGCCCAGCACTTAACGTTATCTGTCACTGCATGCACAGTGTGTCTGTGTCGACGCTAGCCCAGTGAGCTAAAGTTAGCTGGAGCAAACACTCACCACTTCTCTCGCCTTCGGGGAGAAGCCACTCTTTGGTCTGCTCCTCTTGAAAATGTCATCTTTCGGCGAGTCAAAGCCTATTCCTATCGCTTTGTTCCTCGTCTTGACCGTCTTCACGCTGGCTTTGAAGAGCAGAGTGATGTCCACAGCCATGTCTGCTGCGACCGCTGTAAACAAACCGACACGTCACCAGCGGAGGACGTCAGTATCCTGCGACGCTGTGGATTTTCCCTGAGACGGAGAGGAAAGCCTTACATTTTACCTTAAGCGTGTATCAGTTATTATTTACTATAGCGTGTATTTTACCTTATAGTATTAACAACCTTAGAGCGTCTGAGCTGGTATCAAGTTGCTCTTCGCCTTGATTGAGTTGCAGGTAGAGAAAATCTTAACATTTCAAAAAATCTCTTAAATATAACAACTTAAGTTTAAAGAGACTTAAGTGGAAGGCTTTACCTTTTAGTTAGATGACCATGTTAAATAATATGTTTAAATTCAATCATGTTGAATTTTTTGCACTGTATGCATGTGTAATAGGGATGTAATAGGGACCAAATGCACATACAGATAATCAATCATCTAATCAATCTGTGTGTGTTTCTCAGTAAAATGCCCCTACAACTTATTGAAGGGATGTCCACCCGGAAGCGAAGACCTAACTGGACAGACCAGGAGTGTCTTCTCCTTGCTCAGTTAATGCAGGAGAGGAAAGGCATAATCCGAGGGAAGTGCAGCACCGGAGTTTCAATACAGGATAAAAGACAAGCCTGGGAGGAAATAGCCCAAGCCATCAATGCTGCCTTTCCACAGATTCAGCGTACAGTTTCTGACTGTAACAAAAAGTGGGAGAATTTGCTGGCAAAGTCAAGGGAGGAGATCAAACGACAAAAAAGGCAAGCGGGAACAGGTGAGGAAAAGTTTGTTAGGAATAAAATCCTTATACCTTATAATTAATATCATTAAATCTACAGTCTAAGACTGTTTAAAGAAGCCAAGACCTTGAGGGTGGATATGTGGGGATTGCTGCAATTAAGCAAATCCCCATTGTTGATTTCCGTATTGAATTTATTGTATTTCATATTAATCGATGGACATCCTGATTTTTCATTCACAGAAGGCATGTCCCTTGATCAGTTCAGTACTGTGACTCAAGTAGTGATTTCTGTGATGAACCTCTCAGACATGCTGCAACAGGATGGAGAAAACTCTTCAATCTCAGAGTTGGTGGAAACTCAACAAAACAGGTAATACATTTTTTTTTCTTTTTGTGTGCTTAGAAAGCAGTAATTTATTGAAAATATGCATCTGTAATAGGGCTGCATTGAGGCCTGTTTTTTTGTCATTTGGATGAACCCACCCTTATGTGTTAAGGATGAAATGCAAATTCTTGTCAACAATTCTTGTTTTTTCAGCTGTGATGAAGATGGAGATGACCACACAATAGATGAAAGATTCTCAAACAAACATCCACTGACTGAGCTTGATCTCCCTACGTATCCAGATCCTTCTACTTTTTCAGCAGAACAGAAAGTGACTTTCACCAACGTCCCGAAATCACTCGCAGTGCAGTTTAGTGCTCATCGTGCTGCTGGCTTTTCTGCGTCTGCAGAACGACTAGATACTCCCTGCTCTACTTCTCCGCCCTCAGTACACTGCCCAACTTTGCAAGAGCGAATGGATTTGGAAATATCTGTGCTGAGAAGACAAGAGGCCGTCCTCAAGCTGCAAGAGGAATATTACACACTCAAAATTAAGCTAATGAAAAAGCAAATGGAAGAGCCCGTTTCAAAGGACTGAAGTAGCTGTAGAGAACGACTTGTTGAGCCTGTGAACTGTGACCATTCAAGTCAACAGAGCTGTTTTGAAATATTGATCAGGTTTGTGAGGTCACACGTGACAATACCGCGGCCCAGCTCTAATAGCAATGTCACCTCTCATTGTGAAGCAGGATTCACCAAGCGTTGGATTGTTCATCCACTAAAGGCCTGAAAATGCTTGATAATAGTTATGTTTATTCTACTTTCTGAAGTCTGATGGCGATAGTTTTGTGACACGGACCCCAGTGGACCGTAGCATACTAAAGTATAATACCTGCTTAACAGGGATCATGAGTTAGGTTTAGGCTGCCTTGAGACTGACTACTTTTACCACAAGTCTGCTTTTCTTATAATTTCAGTAAAAAAAATATTTATATTATGTTTATCTGGTCTTTTGGTGTTTTCTTCCCAAACTGGAATGGTCGATTGACTTTTTTCACAGTACACATTTTGACTTATAACAGGAACAGCAGAGCTTATCAGTATCATGAGCATGGAACTGGGAAACCTAAATGGAATGCAGCCATAATTAGTATTATGGGTTATACCTGTGCTTTTTCTGCTATGACCTGAAAATATCTGAGTTTTTCCCCGTGTACTGCTGGTCTGGGGAGACTGTGGAGAGCCATGTATTTATACATATGAAGCAACCGATTACTTCTTCACAATTCACCAGGAGTGTGTAATGCATGCAGTAGTTGGCTCCCCTAGGTCTCACTTCCATTCATGCAGGTGCTGTAACCAACCAGTAGCAGTCATTGGTGTGATAAAAATGATCTCCCACTTGCTTCCCACGTGCAAACAAGAGTGAGCTCAAGGTCAGATTACTTGGAACTGAACTTGGCTTCACAAGTCTGTGTAGTTTGAACATGCAGGAAGACCAATTGCAGATTTGAATATAGCCTTTAGCCTGTTTTTTTTATTCTCAGCGTGCATATATCTGTGTCCATGGTTATGGCCCCAAGAGCCATTTTGTCTGCACCAGACAACCATAATGCTAAGACCACACTACATTTTAAAACATTACTATTATGTATTATGGCATCAGAACAAACCAAAACCCCAAAACCTGATGAAATTAGTGCGCTTTATTTATGACATTTTTTCTGGTGTTCTACTTGATTATACTCATTACAGAAGTCTTTTTGAATTCTTTGTATTGTACTGTAATTGTTACATTAGTGAGCTACTCAGAGTTTGCTCTTTCACACTTGGTCCCATTGTAATGAGGGATTAAGTTTCCTTTTAAACTTTTAAAGTTTTTTAAAAAAGCAATCCCGCAAGGTTTGTTTGTGTTTTCTGTTTATTTGCATCAATGCATATTTTGTAGAATAAGATCTATCATGACATCAAGTTCTGCTTTTGTTGTGTATGATGAAAATGAAGGAATTCATGATGTTTGGTACCTTGCATTGCCTCATTACCACTTGAAGTCTCAGACTGAAAGACAGATCAGTCAGTGCAATATAGTAAAATTATTGTCGTGGATTGAAACTGTTATAGTTATTGATACACAATAATGAGAATATTGCTTATACTTATTAGTAGGCTACAAAGAGAAAACTTTACTCACTAACAAAACCTCACATAACGTTGAAATATTTTCCCAGGTGAATGTAATGTGCCATATAACTGTGGAATTACAACTATTACATTCTCAAATTCTTGAAAATGTATTCTCAGTAGGAAGTATAATTTAGTTTATCTGGCAGTGAAGTCTCACTCATATGTATAGTTTTACACTGTGAGAAATTTAGTTTATTTGCTGATTCATGCCATTTACTCCTAAGTGCAAATTTGGAAGCTGTAAATGTTTGACATATACCAATATACATATTTATGAAAATTCTGCTTGGTCATGCCAATGTAAGTAAAGCAACAATAATGTCCTGTCTAGACAAATGTAGTAATTTGTGCGTAATATTTCTCATAAATCCGTTCATTTGTATGTGACTGAGGTTGGCACCCAGATGTAAGCAGTGGGGCCCAGAGTGTTGAATAAAAGTCTGTTATTTGCTGTGTGGTTTGCTCATTTCCTTTGTTAGTGTTGTGCCAGACTGTGTTACAACTGAGTGCTGTGACTGTCTCTCCTTTCTGCTGCCTCAGCATTAACTCCTCATCATTTTTTCATTCACTCTTTTAGCTTTGACTGTGGAAAGAGAGCAGCTTTTCAAGGACTAAGGTTATGGGCACAAAAAGGCATGACTGCCTTTAATGTGTTGATATGAGAAGTCTAACAGAGCATTAAAGTTTCCTAACTTTTATCTTAACCACGGGATAAAGCACACTAATTGAGCTTGTTGCGAGCATGTACTGCACTGGGCTAGAGAAGAAGGATGACAGACCTCACATTCAACAACTGATTTTATCTAAATATATTTCATAGAGTCACACTGTGTTCCTTCATATGCTGAAAGACCATCTTTTTGCTGATCATTCTGCAATACAGTAGGAACCACTGTATTGGAGACCCTTTTTCACCCCACACCCCTTTCAGATGAGTTCAAATACTCCTTCACCTGCACCACTCAAATATGTTTTTATGAATGAATGAATGAACATACAACCATTTATCCATTACATTACATTACTAAATATTTCAATTGTTTATCCATTACTTTTAGCTTTTTCAGCTGTTTATTCATTACTTTTAACGAACTATTTCAACTTCTCTGTGTTTGTCTGCTTTCACATGCTCTCGTTACAACTTACTCAGATTGATAGGGAGCTTGCTACAATTTGTTATCCTATTTGTCTGTTTATTTTCCTGTTTAACACAAATGTGAACAAAAAAAATAAATCAGTTTTATTTGTGTTCAGTTGAATTCAGTCAGAATTGGTTGAGTTTTCCATATAGATTACCCTCAGACAGCTATACTCCTGATAGCACTTTCATTTTGTTTGCTTGGAAGGTGGTATTTCTGTATGTTGTTCTTGTTCTCCTTTGCATTTTCTATTTCTATTATTCCAGTAATGTAAAATGCAAACTTGTTGATAAAGTAGACGACTGTTAATATCCTGAACTATGGTACAACAGCCTAAGCATTCTTTACAGGCATTCCTAGATACTATCTGTCCCCTGGATGAAGCGTCAGTGATGGTATCTATTCCTCCCATCCCTGACAGATGAGCCATGTTTTGGAGTGTCCTCTGGGCAGTCCACTTAACTGCCTGAAAAGAAACCCCTTAATCTCCACTTTCTCTTTGTTTGGACTATTATCAGACCTGTCAGTCCTGGCTGCTTTATCTTCACAGAACTCATCTACTGGCTGTTTGACGTTGGCTTAATTCTATCAAAGGCCCTTATCTCTGGTTTGCCTGAGGATGCATCCTTCCTCTGCCTCGCTAGAATGGTCCCAGCTCTGATAAGAGGATCTCTTATTGGGGTGAATAACACTGTTTTGTGTAAGGGCTGCATGTCACCTGCTTATTAGCTTCATGTTTTCCGGTTGTATTTTGCTTGTTAAAGTCTCTCAATGTACTGTATTTGTGTTAGCCTTGTTTATTAGCTGGGTGTAGTCTGAAACCCGAGCTAATGACACAATCAACCTCCACTGGTACAGACTGGAGATAGCCCCCTTTGAGGGCAGTTGACTGACTCTGTCTTTTGGCAGTAGTCACTTGAAACAGTCTGATGGAATGTCACGCAGCTTGATCTGATGAAGAGCAATTACATGGGAGGGAGCTGTTGCTTTTGAGGTAGTAGCTTACCTGCCACACCCTGCAGGCTTACAAATAAGCCTCAGGACACGTTCCAAATGTGTGAGAATGGTCCCTTTTCTTCGTGTCCTTCTCCTCATGACATATGGTCTGACAGGATTTGACAGGTGGGGGTAAAGAGGGAAGGGTTGGCTAAGATGGTGAAGAATAACTCATCTTGTTTGCTTGGTTTGGCATTATGTCAACAAGACAAATAGAAGAAGCATTTTTAGAGCAGAGAAGAAAAGATATTTGGTGCCAGTGATGACGTTTAAGTCAGGCCCTAATCATCTAAGCTTCTTTGTCTCATGATGTCATGTTGATATATATTCCATTTTTCAAACAAATGGTAAGCTAACATCTTATTATTAGTATGTAGTATGCATGATACTGTGTATGCATACAGTATGACTGTTTGCATGTGTGTTTGTGTAAGAATGTGAGAAAAGGACAAGGCTGTCTTGTGTGCATATACAGTATCTCTGGATGCTGTTCTCTGTGCATGGGTTTGCATGTCTGAGAATATTTAGATGTTAATTCTTTTTTACCACCATAATAACCAGGACCCAGTTTTTGCATATGAATCATAAGCATTGCATGCAAGGTCATGTGCATGTAAGTTTCCTGGAAAACTAATCATGGAAAAGACATGCAGCTTAGCTGCTTGGACCAACAAAGAACTACCCATAGGTTAAGTACAGATGTTGCAATCACAAATTGGATTTTCCATAATGCAGTCGCTGTTACGAATGCTTAACTTTATTTAGATTAGAAAGGGCATTGCCCATTACCAACAGGCTTCAGGCACAATGTCTCTGCTCCAGGGATTAACCACAATTTATGCTTTTATTTTTTTGGCGTGGTGACAGCCAAGAAAGGGAAACTTTCTAAAAAGACACGGTTACAAGGCACATTACCCTTTTCCCACTTATTTTATTTTGTCCTACCCGTCACCACAAGCACAAACAAAATGGTTATTAAAGAAACTACTTTTTGGACATAGAGTAATTGGACTATGGCCATTGCTGTTATCATTGTGTCTTGTTTGGCACAAAAATGGTCTTGGTTACCATCAGTCTGGAGGTTGTTTTACAGAGTGTGTGGATATGTGAGTTTCAAATATGATATAATCATGCCATGGCCACACTACGACAGTCCAGATTTAAGCATTCTGGATATGGTTGACTTGATCATTTTCCACAATGGTCTTCAGAAATGGACAGCAATTGCCCCACCAATGAAAGGGGATCCTCTTTGTAATTAAAGCCAGTAGAAAATTGGATCATTTTTTGCCTGGACAGCTTTCACATTCCAGCTTAATATGGCATTGGAAGCTTTTGAAGTTGCTGTCTTGGCAGTCCCAAATTATACCTTTCATCAGCCAATCATAAGAAAATGGCAACCTGACATTCCCAATCGCAACTTACTTTTGAGCTGGAGTCTATGTAATCAAGGGGGAGTGCATGATACCCACTGACAAATCGACTATGAATACTAGAATTACAATTTCTCTATTAAAACTCATGGAATGTTTTATTTTTAAGATCAAAGTTACATTTTAGCTTGATCCACCAAAAGTCAATTATATGTAATTATCTCGATAATGATTACTTTTTCAGTGAACCCTGAGTAATGCTAATCTTGTGAGATGTAAACTGTCAGTTTTATCAGTATACTACTATTTACTACTATAAAACGTTCACTAACTAACTAAGTCTTTTGGAATCTTTTGTGTCCATTGGGTTCTATCTTCAAGTCTGACAATACCTTTGCCACTTATAAGAAATACAAACATGTATTTTCCAATTTGAAGCTTCTCTCTTCTCTCTGCATTAAAGACAACCTTAATATTAACTATGAATAATGAATAATCCTATGCTTTCGAAGTCATTTACAACCAAAATATTGTATTTATTTTCCTGTTGACCAAGGAAAAAATACTCTACAAAAAGTCGGGTGAGAATTAATCGTGTTACTTTGTCACCAGTGATAGTTACATTGCTTCGCCCTCTGACCTAAAGTTGAACACATTTGTTGGGGATTCACTGAATAGTTTCTTGCAACTTCTGCATGGTCACCCAATTACAACTTGACAGAACTGACACAGACGAGTACATTCACACTGACACAATGGTCTTTGAGGCGTAAAAAGCTCCATGGAAGTATTTACAGAGCAGGTCACTGGTCGCCCCATTGCCTCATCCTCACTGGACAGCTGTAATGTTGTAAATGTACTCTTGAGCTTGAAATGACTTGGAGAATTATGGGCGTTAGCACAAGTCAGCGGGTTCACAGAGAAAATCTATTTTATAGTGAGATTGTTATACTGTGGTAGCATAGGTAACATACAGTGCAATTTTCTCCTACATCAATATAACAGTCTGTAATTTTTATATAATCTTTGTTGACCCACAAAGTACAAAAGACAAACTCTTCCAGGACGACAATTGGCCATTTGAGGTCAATTAAACTTGTGCTCTTCTGCTGAGAGACTGCTGGCTGACCAGCGTAACCCTGAAACAATGACCACTATTATGCATCCTCAGGCATGTCTACTGTAAAGGCACGTACTTCTGCCCCAGAACAAACCAACCTCCTCAGAGACACTGGAATGAAACATGAACTAATTTGTGTTTTGGTGGTTTCTCCCATTCTTAACCCCAGGCTCAGGCCAAGGCCAGACCGTCGCGAACGGCTTCATGTATTTATAAATAGGCAGAAAGAAAAGGGGAAAGAGAGAAATGAGCCCAACAGATGACTGAAACCATATGGAACCGGTGGAGAGTAACTCATCTTGTGACAACATAGCACGAAAGCCCCACC